TTTTAGTTCTGGGTTAATCTCTTTGCAGAGTAAAAAAGCGTAGTTGCAAAGAAAGTGTGCAGAATTGGGAACGTTTAAAATTCCAAAAAAGAAGTAAAAAACATGGCAGCAAAGTTCTTACCACTCCTTCCTCCAGTCGCAAGCCTGGGAAACCTTGTGCGTCGGGTAACGCATTCCACTTGCTCAAGGAATGAGTTTCCGAGGTGCTGCACAGTGAAACAGCTGGCAGAGCACTAACTCATTTTGGACAGACGTGAACCTAAAATGCACGGCTGGAGGGGCCTTATCCCATCCTCCTGGCCAGACTGTTTATCACCAGTGGAAGGTTCTTGGCTTCAGTGTTTCTCAATAACATCTCTAAATGCCGTGGGGCCAGACCCTGATACCCAGGCACGGCGCAAATGAAAGGCAGGCTGGACGGAGAGTAACGTAACCCCCCGCATTCGTACGTCAGCGTGAAGCCGAATTTGCCTCGGCCCTCCAGTAGCCTCTCCCTTCTGCTTTGCACAGACTTCCGTGGCTAAGCCGGATCCCGTTCCCTGTGATCGGGCACGTGGGAACTGCCTCGCTCCCTCCTCAGGTGGAGGGCACAGAAAAGGGCAGATCTGGCTTCCCGTTCTCCCTGAAGTGTTTGTGAGCAGAAGCAGTGACCCTGTGGAGAGACGCGTAGGGATAACATGTTGCTCTCTTCGAAATGGCAGGGCAGGACTGGGAAATGACTAGAACTATTTGTGTTGTCCCAGGGCAAGGTGGCTCCGCTCCACTCCTTTCTGACGTAGCCGGAGAGGATTTGCCTCGCAGAGCTGTTGCTCTTCTACAGAAATGTTTTTAGTCAACTTGGAAACCTCTGAGTTTTGCCAGACTTCTTGTCTGGAGAGACCGCTCAGGTCCAGCAGCAGATCCGAGGCAAGACAAGGGGGCAAGAAATCGGGGTGTCGCCATGCTGGTTGCGGGGCACTCCTGTGGGGTGCAGAAGTCCTTTCTTCTTCAGAAGCAGTTTTGTAGTTTGGGTCAGGAGTGATCCAGAGATGGTTCCCTCTTACCCTTGTTTTGGTTCGCATCATGGAGTGGTCTCGGACTGTGCCCCCCGCGGATTGCTGTGGGGTAGCGCGGCAGCGGGGCTGCCCCGATGGCTTTCAGGCCATCACTCCACATGAGCAGCCACCAGAGAAGATTGCATGCGATGCCCTCCCACCTTTGTGCGTTCCTGTACAAGCAATCTATTTGGCCAACCCTCGGTTGAGCCTCACGTTCCCTATGCAAGCTGAACTACTCTTGCTCTCTGTGGGACTTCCAATCATCTGGGGTTTACTTTTGTCAGAGGTGGAAACTTAGTGATGAAACCACCTCCCCAAAAGAGGACGTATCACTTGCTCTGTTTCCAGCAGTGGATCTGGTGACCTTTTGCAAGAACAGAGCTGAACAAATACTCACTTACGAGCTAAAAGCGGGTATTAGAGCTTAGGAAAACATACAAAAGCAATGGGTGTGTACTTTTAGAAGGAATCTGTGCTGTATCTGTAAGGCAACCTCTTATACTTCACGTGATGCAGACTGCAAGATGCCACCAGAGGCATTTATTGTGAAAGTGACAGTCCCCACAACTTTGCATATATTTTTTTTCGTGAGTGTCATATGATAGGAATATATGAATTCCTCATAACTCTTTGTGAGCATGAGAAGCAAGCGTGAGAGCAGTGAGGCAAGAAAGATGAAGATCTAACAAGATTAATTTGAATGCAAGACAAAACACATTTGTTTAAAAAAAGAAACACCTTGAAATAGGTTTCTCTTGGAATGCTGCTAAACATGACTTTATGAGTAATGCATGTTTGTCTGCTTGTCTGTTTAAAACATATGGTGCTTTGTTGCTTGGGAGCTTCATTTGGGTGGTCAGCATGTACATGACAAGCTTCCTACAGGAGTTGGTGCAAAGGAAGACAATAAATATTTGGAAAGGAGACGGTCTTGAGTGGAGGAGTGTGAAGAAATAGGCAGCTCCCCTCTACACTTCTCTGCATTATAAGCCTTGGTAAGCGATGTAATGTTCTTGCTTTCTAGGAAGCAAAGAAAAAATTCAGTTACTCTTACAGCCAAATGCTACACATAGTTTTAACCTAGGGTCCAAGCAATAGGAGGCTGGATTCGGTGAGAAGGTTGATTTCACCCTTTTATGCTTCCTAATGCTCCAGTCAACCTAGTGGGACTAACAGAGTCTTTCGCTCTTCCATGTTACTGGTGTAGATTGTGATGTTTTTTTCATAGATTTGTTTCAAAAGAGTGTGCCAGTTGGATGATTGCTCTGATGAACTGAAACCAAGTCCCACCATGGCTGGCCTGCCCAATTTGGTGAAATATTTAGTGAGGAAGGTTATTCATTCAGCAGAACTGAGCAGTCCTCCAGCTCATGCTGTTTATAATTGAAAATGATTTCTGGGTGAGTGAGTTAATTATTTCTTGCTGTCTCACTACCCTCTACCTATTCTAAAACTGTGTATTGACCTTCAGGAACAGTTGAATTTCAGCCCTGTGGTTCCTAGCTTATGCTAGTTATTTTGGTTGGGGTGAATATTTACTGTTTCTCCTAGGAGGTTCAGACATAAATAAAAGTTTAGAGGACCTCTGGGTAAACATGTTCATGGTTCAGCACTTTAATGTGTCAATTAGCTACTAACAGTGTCAATAAATTGGACCTGTCAAAAATAATAGCTTTCTTGCCAGTCTTCATCTCCTGCTTTACCTGTGTGCTACAAGAAATACATGACACGCCACCGGAAGTAGTAAAAGCCGACTTTTCCATGCCTATAGCAAAAATTAACAAAGCAAGACCGCTGTCTTCAGACTTGGGTTTTATAAACTAAGAACCGCCTTCTGAAATCTTCTCAAAGTCCTTTTCCTGCTGGACATCCCTTGGGTTTTCCCCGAGTGAAGAAAAAGCAGTAAGAACAGGAGATTCAAAAACAGACATGTACCTATCACCTGAGTTTGAACTGAACTGTTTGGGAGTATGGTTTTATATCACTGTTGAGGAAATTTTACTCTGCCCAGTTGGATGAGAAAAGTGGTCATCTTGCATGATTTTAGGTAACTGCAATCTGGCTGTTCACGGTGAGTCACCCTAGGCTCTCCGCCTTGTTTATCATGGATGGAGAAAAGGAGATTTCTCCAGAGGGCGGCTCATCCTTCTACTGTAGGAGTTTAACTTACAGTTCAAACTTAATATACCTGATTATAGCAACAGACACTTCGACAGGCACAAATGACTCTTCTACATTCCAACCTGAGAGTCGTGCAACAGCACAACGTTAATTCGTTGACTATTGCGTTTCTTCAGCAGATGGGCTACAGAAGCATGTTGCAAATGGAAGAAGTCTGTATGCGTGCCAACAGATGTAGATAAATGCCAGTAGGTTGCGTTTGCAGATGTGCAGCACAGCACCTGAATTCGGTAGGACTCATAAAACGGGGTGGTACGTGCTACAGATAGCTTCTTGTGGGCTGCTTATTGCACAGATCTGTGAATCGTGTTCAAAAACCATGTGGATGTGGCACTTCAGGACATGATTTAGTGGGTATGGTGGTGTTAGGTTGATGGTTGGACTTGATGATCTTAAAGGTCTTTTCCATCCTTAATGATTCTGTGATTCTATGATCAATGGGGTTTTTTTTAAACATTGTTTGAACACAGAGCAGTCATCCTGGAGCTGATATGCCTCCAGCAGCGGCTAAAGTGGGTGGCAGTAAGGAGGGCAGAAGGTGGCCAAGCATCAGTGGTAGCCATCTGCAGCTCAAGGACCTGCCAGCTAAACACAGATTTCTCTTTAATGAATGTATCCAGTCTCTTTTTTGAATCTCTCTGAACCTTTAGCATCCACATATCCTGTGGAAAGGAGTTCCACAACTTCATTACATGAACAAGTGCACTTTTTGTTTTGAATATGCTGCCTTCTATTTTCATTAGATGTCCTCTAGTTCCTGTTTTAAAATATTCATTTCCTATTTATTACTTTTATGCAGGTGTGTGTGGGTTTTTTGTTTATTTGCTATTATGTAAAGTTTGGTGTAATAGGCAATGAAAACGTGGTTTAGCTCTCAACATTCCCACCTGCTGGAGATCAAAGCGAAAAGAATTAATACCGTAATAGTGGAAGCACATTTTCATTTTAAATGAGATCTAACAACAGGTTATGAAGAAGAACATCTTGTGATGGTTATTCAGCTGCATAAGATTGCAGTGTTCCACCCTGTCAACAGGGATAGGAGATTATCACACACAGTCTTTCAATTAGAAGATATTCTTGGAAGGGAGAAAGAGGCCAAGCAACCCATTGTACTGCTGAAAGACCCTGCCCCTGGGAGGTCCAGCTCAGAGCAGCCTCAGCCAGCTCAGCAAAACTGTATGTAGCTAAAGTCCAGGCTTAAGTATGGCAGTGATTTGTTTCATCTTGAAGGGCTACTGCTGTCCCTGAAGCTGAGCACGTGCTTCACTTCTGTGCAGAATGAGAGCCTTCTTGGCGGATCCAGATCGAATCGGTGGCATGTCCAGGCAGGCCCAGGACCCCAGCCAGGGTCAGTGCTGCCAGCCTGCTGCCAGTTGTATTGCATCTGCCACACACACGCACAACAAGACTAACGTGTAAGACTTGCTTTGTGTGCACAGAGTGGCTCCGCAACCTGTGCCGGCCGTTGCGCAGCCCGCGTGGAGTTGCTCTCCAAAGCCTCACAGGTACAACCTCTTGCAGATAGTGCACCCGACGCCACAGGATTATTTGTTGCAGCCCTGAATATACCATAGCGTTTGGTATATTCCTGTGAGCTGGGCTCAGGTGGCCATGCCCTGTGAAGGGCACACATCACCTAGGAGAATACACTCAATGGTAAGGCGACATTACTCCAGCAAAGGTCCGATTTGGTTTGCGACAGCGAATGCCTAACAACGCGCAGAGGGAGAGGAGCTACAGCGAAACCTGTTGTGGTCCGTGTTCTCACGTTAGCCTTACTCTTTCTCACCGCAGGTTACATCCAAGCCTGCAGAGGACTGATGATCTCTGCCGTCTGCCTGGGCTTCTTCGGTGCCGTTTTTGGACTGGTGGGGATGAAGTGTACAAAAGTCGGAGGCTCCGAGCAGACTAAAGCAAAAATAGCTTGTTTAGCTGGACTGATTTTCATACTCTCTGGTAAATATACGTTATTTCTCTAAGTTTGCGTATTTGAAGTCATACCAGAGCTGCTGCTTTTCCGCAGAAATCCGTGCACAATTCTCCGTGACTTCATTGGCTTCAGGGTCAGGCCCAAAGCTCTTCTGCTGGCTCCACTGAATGGTTTGTCTTATGCTTTTCAGGGTTGTGCTCTATGACTAGTTGTTCCCTGTATGCAAACAGGATTACGTCTGAGTTCTTTGATCCTTCTTTTGTTGCACAAAAGTAAGTACTTTCCTCTACCCATAAATCTTTCAAAGAAGTAGACCTTAAGTTTCATACTGTGCACCAGAGCCCATTTAGACGGTGAGCAGGTGCTTCTCCCGTTGGGGAAAGAAGGAGAGTGGGCTGCGGTTTTATTTAATCGTATTTTCCAACTGGAGTAACCGTGTGCTGAAATTTAATGAACGAGCACCTTCCCGGACAGCGATTGCTCTGCAGTCTTTGTGCCCAGGCTTGTTGCGGCTCGGCAGGGTTCCGCCCCGCTCGCCACAGAGCAAGCGGGGTTAATCGGGAGTGAAGCTTGCGTTGATGTCAGAGATGCAGCAAAAGGATTGCACAAGACGGAGGCGCTCGTTAGGCGCATCGTTCGATAGGAAAGGAAGAAAATGATTTCCATAAGCTTTTGGTAGAAGGTGGTTTCCATAAAGGTGTCGAGCACCGCGCAATTTTGACTCCTCTTGAAGAGAGGTTCGTGCAGGCTCTGTGGGCTTTTTGCTAACAGATTTTCAAATCCAGATGGCTGAAATTTGGATCATAAACCTTGCCGTGACCCACCATCTTATAAGCACTAACATAAATGCTTTGACTATACTTGCAATTAAATGTAAGGGAGCAAGTGTTTATAGAATTGCAGGATCCATACCAGAAGTAATGAGCATCCCCAAAGACTCCCTTTAAAGCCGTGCAAGTTCTCAGGACATACAAAGGCAGCAACTCACAAGCCAGTGCTTGGGTTTCGGATTCACATTTTAGCTATTGAATCGGAAAAGGTTGGCCGTAAACTATAGCATCATAGACTTTCCTGTTTTGGCTCCTTATGCAAAGTTTTCTTTAAAGACAAGGATTTAAAAGTTTTCTTGGTGGTGATTCCAGAATATGTCAAGCATTAGGTATACATTTCCCTGAGACCCAAGTAAGGGCTCGGTAAGGAACCCTGAGCCTTTCCGTTTTTTCTTGATAGAAAGAAAATAGTCTGAATAAATAACATTAACTGGACCCCCGTTTGCAGCAGGGCTGATACTCCTTCTCCTGTCTTGAAAACAAGTTCATATTAGTTTCCTCTGTAATTCTTCTATAGTTTATGCTTGTCTGATAGGGTGAGGACAGGATCCAAAGGCCTCCAAAAGAAACAAAGATGTGAGGTACTGTGAAGAAAATGGAGCCTGGCTATATAGCCAGAAGTTAATTATTCATCAGGCTTACTGTTCCTAGTGAAAAATACGGTGATTGTTGTCAGAAGTCCCTTTCCTACATTATATTCCTATGCTGTTCTGCTGCAAAAGAGCAGGCAGACCTCACAGCGGAGTTTTGCTGCGAGGAAATGCGAAGTCCAGTTTCAATATTGAAATAAAGAGAGTAAAACATCCTCTGCAGAAATTACCTTTTTCCAGGATAGCCTAACTGCATGCACACATAATCACAACTGCAAAGATAAAGGCAGAGAGGAGAGCCAGAAGTCGTAATTTGAGTTGCACACGATGTAGGTCATGCAATGACCTTGTGTCAGGTTAAGCTAATGGTGGCATTCGACTCCTTTCTCTCTCGGCCAATGTAAAATACATTGGAGCGATGTATTTTCTTGCTGTCTGTGAACTCTTACTTTGATATGCATTGCAGAAGCATTTAATGTGCTTTGTGGGTATACTGTGGAAATTTGGCATTGGCTCTTCACTGAGAGAGGGTGCTGCTTTGGGTTTCCACCTTTCACCTTCTCTCCTGAAGTTACTCCGGCCGTCTCAAAGGCAGGCTTGAGGTACCATTAGCAGAAAGGGAATGAAACGAGATGTTTAGCATCATCTCAGCCATCAGGGTTTCCCTCCAGCCTACTGCATTTGGAGGAGGCACCCTGACTATGTGTGGGTGCAGGAGGAATCAGAAACTTGCCCAAGAGACTTCTGGTTTGAACTGTGTACCCAACTGAGGAACGACAGGCACCACGGGGACACCCTAAAACCTGCCTTACTTAGAAAAAAATATTAGGCTGGACTTTATGTCCTGATGTGATAGTTTGCATTGCCAATGTAAAGCAGCTCCAAAGGAATTGCTTGACCCTGCAGAATAACACGTGCAGAGTCTTGCAGACAGCACGGGACACCTTGGTGCTTGCAGCCAAGATGGATTTCATTTTTCTTCAGACACCGCTAACAAGGGAAAATCTGTTCTTCTGTTTTGCTGTCTTGCTAACGTTGCTCCCACAGCTTCTCTTAGGAAACTCTTTTGCCACTCTACTACTTTTTATTAAAAAAACCCCAACCCTCTTACAGTCTTTATCCTTTTTGTCCCTTTGCCACAGTTCGAACTCCATAATCATGGTCATTCTTACTGATGAGTGGGGTTGGTTTATCCAAATTATCTAACTTCCTGTTCTCTTTTATAGAGAATTGTTTCCCTTCAGCTTTCTTGTCTCTGAGTGGATCATGCTCAATTCACACAGGCTCTCTTTCCACTGTCCCACTCTAACATTTGAATCTATTTTTCATTTTCCAAGAACTGTAAGAATTAGACATTCAAAACGTGTATTTCCTTTGAGTAGTTGTGTTGATTTGTTGAGAAGGTAGGCATGTCCTTTATGTATGCCGGTAGCCAGTCAGCTAATGAAGCTCCCACTGGCTTGCTTGGGAGTTTGCTTTGTAGTCCTAATCTATCTAGCAACTGGAATATTTTTCTTCTGTACTGATATTATATTTTCTTAATTTCGTGGATTCTTCCTCCCTCTAATACAGTAAAAATATGTGTAGCCTGCTTGGTCAGTGTAGTTATCTGCAGCTGAATTCTTAGTCTTCAGTGGTCACCACCTCTTCATCAATGTCCCACTCCTCCCTGAGCTGCCAGCGATCTCTAATCAGATTGATTTCACTGATTGATTGGAGTCGGTGTATACGCAGCCACACACTTCAGGGAGTGGCTGCTTTGATTCTCGCAACCAAGAATTAGAAGAGCAGAAGAGTGTGTTTCCTGCAAAGATTTTAAAAGAGAAAGAGAGAAGGGAAAACAGCAAATACAGAAATTTCTTCTTTAAAAAGCCCATCTCCTTCCGCCCCCCCCCACCCCCGGAGGTACCAATGTATGTAAGGTGTGTTTTTTCATGTGGTACATACTGGATTTTGATAGGAGGTTAGGACTGGCTTCTGAAATGCTGAAAAGGTGGATTGGATAAAATCCATAAGCCATACACAGGTTGATAAGCAATTGAAAGTTTGACGTTTTCCTCATAAGCAGCAGTCTAAATCAAAAAGTCTTGTATCTGTTTAAAGATGTGGAGGGAAGACCAATTAGGCCAGCTCTGCAACTCATTAACCTAGCAGTGTGGCAGTCACCGAGAAGGGTCCATATATGCAATCTGTTTGTACGTGTTGCTTATAAAGTACAAACAATCCCACGAACAAAGGCTGGACCCCATGTCTTCTTTCCCAACTAGTAGGCAACAGTCAGATGTTTTGCTACCCAAATAAACCCAGTGTAATCTTGGTTTCTTTTCTGTACAACTGAAGAGCTTCAGGAGAGGAGGTGGCAATTGGTCTGCTTATCTCTCTTGCATTAGCCTCTGGCCAACTGATCTATGTTGTTAGATGGAAATGTGGAAACGAACTTGTGCTTCCTATTTTCTAGGCAAATGGTCTTGGCAAGTAGGTTGTTACAGCAGGAGCCTTCCTGGGTCTTTATCCAGCTGTGTTCTCCAGCACCGCCGTGGTCCACGCTGACTTTTGTGGGGAGCCTAACCCTGGTCCACGTACCTTAGGTGTGCTCTGGCCAGTACCCGCGGCGATGGAGGGATCTCCAGGGTGGGGCTTACCTCACATCAGAGTTAGTCACTTTGATCTGTTTCTACACCTCTTTAAAAGAGGTGCCTTGAGGGTGTCTTAGAAGTGTGTTTTGTGTATATTTCTTGCGTGTTGACTGTAACGGGTTCCTAGGTGATGAGCTCTGGTGTAGGTATCTGCTTCTAATCAGAGAACCCCCAGTCCTTGAACAGAGAGAAATCTGCCCCAGTCTTGTGACAACTGTAGCACATGGTTGGAAATGTGAGCATAGTTAGAATTAAAGCTTTACAGCTTTGGCAGATTTTGAAGTCAAATGGGTCTGGGTGCAGAGTTTTCCAGGGTGAAAGGCAGCTGAGCTATGGTTTCCAGAAGTTTAATTCGGGGGTTGGGTGCCCAAGTCCCACACTGGGTATGGAGAATGTTCGGGGGAATCGGATTCTTTTTTAGCAAGGGATGATAAATAAAAACCCTGCTTAGATGATGTGAATGGAAAATGAAAAAGAAGCCTAGAAGCTAGAGCACTAGAGGGGCAATGAAGAGTCAGGTGCAAGCACTCATGAAATGTCCTACCTCTGAGCTCTGATGTCTCCATCTCTTTTTGGCAGTAAGCCCCCGAGTCAGAAATGACTTGAACCTGGGTGTCCATAGCATCTAGCACTGGTATCTCAAGTGTGGCTTTTTCTCCCTGTGTGACTTATTTATTTTTTTTTAAAGTCTGTGCTTTACCTCTGGTTAGAATCTCAGGAAAACATGGAAAAGTGATTTTGTTTTCCAGCCAGTGTTCACCCTCCTGTGACCTATTACAGAAGTTGCTGTATCATTTTCTGGGTTTCTGGGCTCACAGGCAATTTTTGAGTGTTTCCGCAGTGTCATCTTTGTAGAGATACAAGTTTGGTAGAACAGCTTTCAGGTGTTTTCAGTTCTGTATTTCAGCTAATGTGAAATTAGGACCTGTTCACATGGCAGTGTTCAGAACTGGCTGAAAAGTACGCAGCTGCCCAGTCTCTCCGTTGTACAGGCAGGCTGTCAGGCAGAGGCTTTCCTTCGGCCGCCTCGCCAGAGGCTTTCAATAAAAAAACAAACTTCCTTGAACAGCACAGCCACCTGACCGATAACTGCGGCTGGATGGGGGAGAGGGGCCTGTGGTTTCGGCACAGGATCAGGAGGAGATCGGGAGGAGTCAGGAGGAGATAAAGGTTCCCTCAAGGGGGAACTGGGGCAGAGAAGAGCGAGCAAGAGGGACACAGTCTGTCCTAATAGTGAGGAATATGAGACTCTGCAGACTGTTGGGCCTGCGTTCTAATGCAGATCATCCTGAAAGCGTTTTAGAGACCGGTACCTCAGGCAAAGAGCTGGGGAGTGGAGCAGACAAGTGGCAGCGATGGCTTGCTGCTCATCTTGAAGCTCCAGAGCTCACGTATGGGCGCCGAGCTCGAGCAGGGGAAGGAGAAGAATCTCTTCCCCATACCCTTCTTTTCCTTCGTTTGCTACTATTGCTTTAGAAACTCAGACTTACCCGTGTGTGATAATGTTCCTAAAGCACCGCCATCTCCTCTCGGAGTCAAACTGAGCAGTTTCTGGCTGCAGACAATTAGTGGCCGCCCCGGGTGGCAGAGGGGACCGTGGCTGGTGACCTGGAGCTGTGCCCAAGGGCTCGGAGGGGAGCGGTGTCATCCAGCCACAGGGACTAGAGAAGCAGAGGGATGCCGGCACATGCAGTTGGGGATGTGTACAGACAGGTACATCTGCGTATGTGTGCATGTATGTGCATCTCTGTACATGCATAGGCATGTATCAGGTACATCTGTATGTGTATATGCGTAGGTTGCACACGTGTGTGTGTGTATTGCATATGCATTTTTTATATATACGTACACCAAGCTCATGTTTTAAGCAGGCTGAAATGTGGATAGGGAGGAAGAGAAATCCTGACAGCCAGAGGGGAGGGTTAAGGAGAGCTGTAGGCAGCAGCTCTTGGTCGCCGGCTCAGCAAAAGCCTCAGTCCAGCTTGGGAGCCAACGGGAACAAACTCGAAGCGGTCCAAGGGGACAGGAGCTGTGCACTGCAAACGGCCCAGAGGATCATGAGATTCAGAGAAACGCAGCCAAGCAATCCGGGAGGAGACGCGGAAGAGCCAGGCCAACCTGGCTGGCTGCGTGGGGAGATAAGTGTTGCCCGTGTGTACCGCAGGCACAGTTTGCCTCCCGGGTAAGAGGGAAGTAATGAAAAGAACGTGGGGGAATGGCAGAGCTGCTGATTTTGTGATGAATAACGTGTATGTCAGTGGAAGGTTATTCGGGAAAAAATAAAATTTCCTTCTTTTAGTCTGCAAAAACCTGTTAAATTCATGCTCTCTTTTGTTAAACCCCTTTATTCACTTCCTGTAGATATGAATTAGGAGCAGCTTTGTTCATTGGATGGGCTGGAGCTTCACTCTGCATCATTGGTGGCAGTATATTCTGCTTCTCCATAGCCGAAAACAGTAATTCTCCAAGGTAAAACACAAGTTGTACTTACTGAAAGAAATCAATACTGGCGCATTTGTACCCGCTATATGTACGCGGTTTGATTACTCTTCCAAAACCCTTTGTAGCGAGGTTCAGAACAAGCTTGTCTGGATGAAAGAAAATAATGGGATTTATGGATAATGCTCTGTCCATCATTAATGTAATTAAGAAAAGGTATTGACTCAGAACAAATGCTTTATACTTCATAAATTTACTACAGCTGGAAAAAAATGCATTCACTGATGTAGGAAAAGTGGCCAGGTCACCTCACCAGGTGTGAACAGACAACTTTAATCCCAAATCATCAGATCAAAAGTGAGAGGTGAAGGACAGCAGGGGTGGCAGCAAGACCTCCAGCAGCAGAAGCGGGGTGATAATGAAGAGGCACAGCTGGAGGGAGTAGCTAGTCACCTAGGATCTGCAACAGCCTAAATATTTCATGATCTGGCCCCGATTTACTTAGCTGTGAACGAGGGATACACGTCAATAGGAAAGTGAGTCGCAGAGAGAGATGCTGGAGGGGAAATGTCAAACCAGAATAAGACCATACAGGGAAGGTGTCCCTCCTGCCCCCTCCCCTGAAATTTATAGGTGCGTCCCTGTACATTCTGCTAGTTTTTATTACTATAGCACTTAGATGCAGAGATGTTACCTGTCTGTGGAATTAACTGTAAATGGTTGATTCTCTTCTTTTCAGGAGGGGTTATGCATATAATGGAGCCACATCTGTGATGTCTTCTCGTACAAAGGTCCACAACAGTGTCCCAGACAAAACCCCACCAAAGCACTTTGACAAGAATGCTTATGTTTAATTATACTGTTGGAAGATCCAAAGCATTTTAAAAATGAGTTTGTATGTTTTATTCCGAGTGATTCCCACCCTCAATGTAATTACCACTAAGTCAATGACTTTTTAAAACATTAACATGCAGCTTTTTACATATTGATGTAAATTTTATTATATAATATTTTCAGATTGATGTTGTCTTTGTAAAGTTTATACCTGGAAATCATGAGCTGATGTTGCTTTCTTGAAAAAAATAAACGGGGTATTTACCAACTCAGTATGTCAGTCGCTTATGGGAATGCCCATCACATGCATCATACCGACCGCAGTGCATCATTGCAACTGTTCCTGAAATGGGTTCAGTAGTGGACAAAACAGCCATGTGCAAATATGTAAAATATCTCACCACTGATTAGCAGTGACGACAGAACTGCAGAGCACATCGTAACTGCAGCACCAGACGATGACAGTCAGTGGGAATCAACAGGCTCTTACCTCTTGATCACCTTGCGGGGGTGGATGACTGTGCAACTTGGTCAATTTGGTGCCATAGAAGTAAGAAGAGGAGGAGACTGGGTGAAGTGAAAGTAAGTACGGGATTTGGGGAGGCAGGAGCAGGTACTAAGGAGAGTCAGGGCCAGTTGGTACAAAAACAGGCACAAGAGATGGTCTTGCACGGCCTAAGAAGAATGCACGCACAAGAACGCACGGGCGACCGTGAGCCTTCGCGTGCAGGGCAGGGAGGGAAAAGGTTGAGCGAGGTTGCAGCCCGTGGGGAGTTTTGAGGCGGGCAAGACAAGGCTGGAGAGAGAGAGCTCCTACCTTCAGCATTTGCCTTGTGCCACCTCGGCGCTCGCCCCTGCTGGTGACAAACGCTGCCGGGGCATGGTTTTGGTTCCCTCCCGCTGGGCAGGGTGCCAGGACACCTGGATCCAGAGTGGCTCCAAGCCACTGGGTTACGAAAGGGAAGGAAGAACCCCAGGCGATACCAGCCTGGAGCTGACCGAATAAAAGCTGGCAGTACTGAACAGCACTATTTTAGATAATCCTGAGTTAGCTACAACAGTTCAAAAATTCAGCTAGTACTTTTTTTTTTCACCTGTCCATAGAAATGCGCTGGCTTTTGCGGGAATATTTGTACGATGAGTCGATAAATGAGATCAGAGATGATGTATAAGTCAGAAAATGCTTTCTAAACTGAGACCCTGAAGCCAAATGCAAACTCAGGTCTGTCTGGAGGTTTGAACTGATGGACCCTTGGAGTTTCAATACATGGGTTATTTGGGGACAAAGGTGCAAATATAAAGAATTAATAGTCCTATTTACTAATGGGCCAGTATGATGGAAAGCCTTTTGTATCTGATACCATCTAAAATACATCAGAACTACAACATCATTCAACATTCTTTTATTTTTCTATTTCGTTTAAGTCATAACACTATTGCGTTTTTTTAAGAAGGCAGCCAATATGGACAAAACAGAAATATGAAAGCACTTCCACAATGGTAGGCCACTGCTTTCCTCACCTTAGCTGGATGTTTTAATTTTTTTTCCAATTTCTGTGCTTTTATGTTAAATAAGACTCAACTATAATACAAAAAAAAAAGGACTGACTTCCCCAAACAGGAGGCATTTAATAACTAGTTTTATAGCTGAGGTCTTTTCTTGTTTTTATTTGGTGTTTATTGTAAACCGTGGTAGAAACTTAACGTTTTACTACATGGAAATATTTTCTTTAAAATGTGCACAATTTTATATAAAGTTTATGATAAAATACAAGAAAATATGCATTTAAAAATTTATAAAGTAATACTCTCCAGTAAATTCTGTTCATTGGTTAACAGCCTTTCTTGCAAGACCAGTTTCAATCATGTAAACATTAGAGGCAAAACCTTCACCTCAGTGAAATCAGGGAGACTTTCACCATTGAATTCACGAAAAAGAAGAATTAACTCTCCATTTCCAAACAGACATGGCCAGTAATGCCTATATGAATATTCTTGTTTCAAATTCAGGATTGAAAGACACATGAGCTCTGTAAACAGTATTCCTTGTTATTACATGACCAATATGAGAAACAAATAGGAAACACTTGATGTTCTCAACTACATTTTCAACCCCAATAGAACGCCTCCCACCAGGAACGCAACAATTACGTATCTGAAGAATCACTCCAATCTGTTACAGTGACTAAGCTGCTTTTTAACGTGCTTGTATTATCAGCTTCATGAAGGCCTGTTAAAATAAGAAAAAATATTAACAATTATTAATAATATTTGGGGGGTATTTTTACTCTGTATTTATCTATGACATAAAATCACATGCTATGTGAGCAAACACCTGTGGACTTCAGGAAGTCCAGAATTTCAACCAGTGAGGAAGTTACAAGTGTTGATAATATGAAGGCTGTTTCTGTCACAGAATACAATGCACAGTACAAGCAGTCAGTGTCAACATTACTTTCCCTTTAAAAATAACCTCAAGTATCTTTATATAACTGACACAGCTTTAACCTTTACATATATCGAGATGTTAGGGCTAGAAACTGCTACAGAAGTTCTATGTAGGATTGAGGCTATTACTTTACCAGTAGCTCAAATATTTATCTCAGCCTGATAGGTCACGTATATATCTTGAACAAACTTGAAATTTTATTATTATTCTTCTCGGGACAAAGCAAGAAAGTTTCTCTCCTCCCTTAAATTTGGGAAGGGATTAAAAAAAAATCCTGGATGATTAGTTTTTAAGATGAGGTTGAAGCCTGGCATTACTGTATCTATATTATATAGTATTACTATATTAAAATCTCAAATTTAAGTTTCTTGGCATCTCTGTGTGTGTGTTGTTTATGTATAAGTATGTACCATAAATCTCATAGATGACATTTATATGACATAAAAACAAGAACACAGTTTTTCTTTTCTTACAAAGTACCATATATTGAATTACAATGTGTAATACACTATACTTAAGTTCTCCTCTAGATGTGTCACCCACTTAAGTCTTATAACGTAAAAAGCATGAGTACGTTACCTTCCTCCTTCGGTACGCTTGTCTTCGGAAGACCCCATGCATGTACCACAGATGCAGCAGTTGACTCATTTTTCTGAGCTGTCAATGCCTTCTGGCCTCTATCATTTTTCATTAATAAAAAGTCATCTTCTACTGAGGATATATCCCAATCATCTTCATCAACTTCTGTGAACTAATAAGTAGAAGAAAAAACATGCATTTTTCCTCTTTCTGTTCAAGTTGTGCTGAGATATTCCATACACTCAAAAATGTGAAACTGCTAAAGAAAAATGCACTGGCACATGGCCTTTATGACATCTATCACCACAGTTTCAAAATCCACATAATTCAATTATCTAAATTACATTAATTCACTATTATAGTTCCAAAGCTAAAAGTGGTAGGTTTTTTTTTAAATTAGAACTGCAAAAGTTAAGAGTTCTGCCAGTTCTATAACTGTGAGAAACCTATGTTTTCAGGTATTACATGTCTAACTTAAGAAAGGATCGTCTTTTCTGGGATATTAGATATTCCAGTGAGATGGAAAATCCTTTAAGCAGAAGAATATATATTACTTACATGAAAATAAAGACATGACATGTTATCATGCAAGTTGGCAGTTTAGTTTGCTATATGATCATAGAATGGTTTAGGTTGGAAGGGACCTTTAGAGGCCACCTAGTCCAACCCCCCCTGCAACGAGCAGGGACATCTTCAACTAGATCAGCTTGCGCAGAGCCCCATCCAACCTGACCTTGAATGGACCCAGAGATGGGGCATCTACCACCTCGCTGGGTATTCTGCATTCATACTAGAAAAATTTAATATTGCAATAAAGGCCTTTTCAATTTAAAATGGATTTATTTAAAGAGAAAATTAAATAATGACAATTAAAAAAAACCATGGTGCTCAAAGTTATGTATTCCTCTTAAGACTCACTGTCAGCATGTACAAGTATATTTTTAATTAAGTGGTGGATTTGCATAATGAGTTCACAAAATGAAAGTCAAGTCAAACAGATGAACCTGAAGGCAATGAGTCTGTGGTCTTTCTTATCTCATCTGCCCAAGAACTAAATAGTTTCATTCAGCTTTTGAAAGAAGAGCTACACCATTTCCCTATTTGTCAATCAGATGTGGTTCAATGCAATCGAGCCATTATTACAGAGCTTAACTGTGGAAAGTGAAAGATGGTTTCTCACAAAGCTAAAACCTTATTTCCCTGGTGTCTCTCAATATTACAGTAAGATATAGAAGGTGCTTCTATTGCACAGAAGAAAGAGTCAGATGCTATTAGAAAACAATGTCAGGTATGTGGATACTAGAGAAAAATCAACAAATATGAACGTGTCATGTGTCTCTAAAGAAGGCAAGAGACTGCAGTAATGCTCCATCTTGCAACATAATTCAATTTTAACATTGCAAACTGTTTTTCAAAAATTGACAGATCTGCTCAGTGTGCTGTATTATTAACATACCAGGATTCAGCATTTCGCTGTTTTAAATTATCTGCATTTGGAGGGAGTGGTAATGGGAAAGTCAGAGTCACATATATTGAGAAATGCTGGAGGAAGAGTTTCCTCAAACATTCATTAAGTCCCAACTGATTTTTGAAGTACAGAATGCAGAGGAAAATGTCAACTTCAAACGGAATTTAGTTTTGATCAAGTATAAATACACAGCACCAATCAAAACTGCTAAGCAGTTTTATTAACTCAAAGACTTACTCCATATACCATAATCCATATAATGTCTGTTACAGGTGAACTCAGGTAGTACAGCTTCAGGTAAGCACAAAATTAATTTTCTCTAAAATGTTTTTGAAGTAACTTCTGTAAAACATGACCTTTATAAAACATATGACAATGAGATGCCTTGCGAAGGTTTTATGGTATTGTGGGTTTTGAGAACAACCATTAGCAGCTGTAAGTATTTAAGCTTTTAGTATTTAAGCTAATAAAAAAATTTGGATTTTCAGAGAAACCACCATTCCAATGGCATTTTGTGCTTATGTCTTTAGGGACCTTTGAAAATCCCACCTAAAATTTAAAGAATTAATTTGAACTATGTGACTACATTTAAACATGCAAATATGGACATGAATATATGCACATTCATACATAATTAGCAAGAGTACAAGATGGTGTGTTGTTCTGTAAAGATTCCATAAACAAAGTAGCACCGCCTGCCCTGGGTTCATAAACTCATTTCAAACTCATCAGGTCCATACAACATCACATCACTGTATTAATACATCAGGGACACAATGTATTCAAAATTAATTCTAGCAAAAATTTTTTTCATACAATCATGGAATGGTTTGGGTTAGAAGGGACCTTTAAAGGGCATCTAGTCCAACCTCCCTGCCATGGGCAGGGACATCTTTCACTAGATCAGGTTGCTCAAAGCCCTGTCCAATCTGACCTTGAATGCTTCCAGGGATGGGGCATCCACAACTTCTCTGGCCAACCTGTACCAGTGTCTCACCACCCTCACTGAGAAAAATTTCATCCTTATAGCCAATCTAAACCTACTCTTAGTTTAAAACCATTGCCCCTGTCCTGTCACTACAGGCCTTAGTAAAAAGTCTTTCTCCATCTTTCTTATAAGCCCCCTTTATATTTTGAAAGGCTGCAATAAGGTCTCCCCAGAGCCTTCTCCTCTCCAGGCTGAAAAACCCCAACTCTCTCAGCCTGTCCTCATAGGAGAGGTGTTCCATCCCTCTGATAATTTTTGTGGCCCTCCTCTGGCCCTGCTCCAACAGGTCCATGTCTTTCCTGTGCTGAGGGCTCCAGAGCTGGACACAGGACTCCAGGCAGGGTCTCACCAGAGCAGAGGGGCAGAATCCCCTCCCTCGACCTGCTGGCCACGCTGCTTTAGATGCAGCCCAGGATACAGCTGGCTTTCTGGGCTGCGAGTGCACATTCACGGCTCATGTCCAGCTTTTCATCCACCAGTACCCGCAACGTCCTTCTCGGCAGGGCTGCTCTCCATCCCTTCATCCTCCAGCCTGTACTGATACTGGGGCTTTGCACCGACCCCAGTGCAGGACCCTGCACTTGACCTTGTTGAACCTCATGAAGGTTACCAGGTCCCACTCCGCAAGCCTGTCCAGGTGCCTCCAGATGGCATCCCTTCCCTCGAGTGCATCAACTTTGCCACTCAGCTTGGTGTCATCTGCAAACTTGCTGAGGTTGCACCCGATCCCACTATGTCATTAATAAAGATATTGAACAGTACTGGTCGCAATACAGACTCTTGAGAGACACGACTCATTCCTGGTTTCCACTTGGACATTGATCCATTGAGTGCAACTCCTTGCATGCAGCCAACCCATACATCTCCAATTTAGAGATAAGAATGTTGTGGGGACAGTAGGAAATGCCTTACAGAGTCCAGACAGACAACATCTGTAGCTCTTGCTTTGTCCACTGATGCAGCCACTCCATTGTAGAAGGCCACCAGATTAGTGAGGCACAATTTACCCTTGGTGAAGCCATGTTGGCTGTCTTTAATCACCTCCCTGTCTTCCATATAGTTCAACATATCTTCCAGGAGGATCTGTTCCACAGTCTTACTGGGAACAGAGGTGAGGCTGACGGGTCAGTAGTTCCCGGGGTCCTCCTTTTTAAGAATGTGTTTGATGTTTCCATTTTTTCAGTCAGGGACTCCACCTGACTGCCATGATTTTTCAGATATGATGGAGAGTGGCTTGACAACTACATCAGCCAATTTCGTTAGGTCCCATGGACTTACGTATGTTCAGGTTCCTCTGGTGGTCTCAAACCTGATCTTCTCCCATGATGGGAAGGACTTTATTACCCCAGTCCCCATCTGGAGGTTCAGGGGCTTGAGAGATGTGGGAAGAGAGGTTACTAGTGAAAACAAAGGCATCTTTAAATCATAGCTTTCAAGACTCATTTTGCTACAGCTCTTATTTTGCTACAGCTCTTGAAGCCTAAATTCCTTAACACAATGGCCAACCATCTATAGATCTTTACAAAATGTAACATTCCCTAAATTTAACTGTGAACATTTTAGAGTCTTGTGTCATTTGACATTGCCCAGAATTTGAAAGTAACATCTGGACAGAAAATTACACTATAGCAGTCATGTCTGACAATTTTGAGTCTGGTGTGATTTGCAGCTCCCGCACAGTCAATGGACAAGTTAGGTGTCACCAGTGCAATTAAAAGCACACAGGATAAATGTGATTACCCTACCATTAAAGCTGAAGTTGATTAAGACAATTGCCCCTTTCTGGAAACTGAAACAGAAGTGTCACTGTTTCTGGGAGGAGTGATAAATTTCAGATTTAACTGTTAGTCAGGAAGCCCTAAGGTATCAGTTTTATTATGGGTAACAGGATTTTCAGTAATAATTATTTGTTTATTTAGTGAAAAAATACTTTCTGGAATGCTAGAACTAGTACCTGGCTGTCTATTCCAATTTAATAACAACTACTAAAACTGAAATAAATAGCACTATCTGCTGTTGACTTCTGATTTGGAGTAACTTTTGTTGTTTTTAAAAAATAGTTCAGGCAAAGATCAGTTTGCATCAAAGTGGCTTACCAATTATAAAACTCTAAACTGAGGGGAAGACTGGGACCTTAGGAGCCTGAGGGGTAAAGAATAAGCTGTGTTAGGATTCTGATTGTGAACACATGTTGTACTCCCTGGACAGATACCAGCGATATATCTGATGTAGTTTGAAAACAGTATGGTTGTAAATAGATGCAGCAGAACAAAGACCATACTCAGAAATGGAATTTGTCCCCTCATCAAAATGTATTTAAAAGTTCCATGTCAGATAAAGCTCTAGAAATAAAAATATTTAAAAATAATAGATAAGCAAATTCATGTTTTCATCCATCAAAACAAGATACTAAGAAAGCAAGTAAAGAAGGGTTTGCTCTATGCTGCTAGAATAGGAGATCAAAATTATACCAATTGTGCCCAAACTTCAGGCTAGCTGTAAGCTCATAAGCAGTGTGGATGAAGAGGTCACTTGGCACAGCTCCCTTGCTAGCACTTTGCTATAAACCAGTGCAGATGTACCCAAAAAGACTAGTTAGCTGTAATTCCAAAACTGTCTTTGAGAATAAAGTTCTTCACTGCATCAAGACGGTTTCAGCATTAAAAAAAAAAAGTAATAGATATAGATTTAGTTCAATCATTTAATGAAATAATAATAGCTATTAAAAACGATACCTTCAGTTCTTGCACCTCTTCTTTCTTCATAAATGCCTGTGCAACATTAATCCCTCCAGCTGGTTTGTTCTTATTTCCATGGTTAGAAAGACTCTTTCCAACTTGTTCAGTCAGTTTTTGAATTACTGCTCCTAAAGTTCATAAAAAAAATTATACTGACAGTCAAGGCTAGATAATCTGCCTTCATTATGTTTTCTAACATAGAAATATTATCAGGAAATGCAAAATCATGCATAGCTGTTACAACATGCATATACAAAAGTAGTGAAAAACCTTTTGAAGTTTTCACAGGTGTTCCAGTTTCTTCAATTTCACTCTCCTCTGTCCTATCCATATCGCTTTTGCCAGAAGCCTTCTGAAAAGCACTGACTTTGCTGCTTGATGTTTTTGACTGCTTTTGCGATAATTCTGGTGATATGTAAGACTGCTTAATATCGTCTTCATCTACTTCTTCCTCTGAACTGAATGGTGGAGTTCTATGCAAAAACATACATACAACCTGAGGATTTACTGGGTTTCAGTGACTGCATTGATATGTACATATTTAAGCTTCCTTGTATTTTCCTTTCCAGTTACATGTGCATTTTTCTTATGTAAAAAACTAGGAGCTCCCATAAATTCTAACTATGCATAAAACTATTTAGAAGAAATCATGTTGCTAAGTAAATTCAGAAAGTTATCACAAAATTATATCTTACATAGACATGATTGTTTCCATCTGTGCAACTATCTTTACAAAACAACAGACCAATATATAACAAGTCTTGCCAGGCAAACAAAGATAGTCTTTCATGGATGAGCAGGGAGAGGAAAATTCAGGGTCAAGGAATCTGTACCACAAAAAGTCTGTTCTAATATTCTGTTAGGTGAAAGTAATTCTGGTATTTTTCACTGCAGGAAATGACAAATGCAAGTGGAATCTGGAATACTGTGTTTAATTTTGGTCATAGTAAGAAAATATCAATAAACTGAAAAAACAAGGTCACCAAATGGGTGACCTTAATGGTCTTTAAATGCTTTTAACTGGCTCAGAAAAAGCATCTGACAATGAAACTAAAGGAAGTAATACTACCCAATTTTACTTGAATGTCCCTCTCTGGTTCACAATAAAGAATACATCTGCTGAAAGGAGAACATGCTATTTTTCAGGGATTATAACAGACTCAAATGGAATAATACTTTAAAACAAAGTATGAAATATGCAGTCTAGAAAGTGTTTATAATTTCATCTTAATAATAGCTTTTGTGTGGCAAGCGTGTTGAATATTCAGTCACCGAAATACTTTCTTCAAAAATACAAGGGAACAAAACATACGTGATACTGGGTGTCCTTCTGGAAACTCCATTTCCAAAAAGCTTCCTGGATCTAAAAATAACAAGACAAGTTATTTCAAGACCGACAGTCAGCTAAGCATAAAGTTTATATACAAGTAATGGGAATTCTTTGCTCAGTTCTTACAATATTAGCAGGAAATGTTCCCATCAGTCACAAAAACCCAAACCCATAGTACTGTTACCTGAGGCATGAGTACTATGAGAATAGCATCCTCTTACTTTGGCGTAGATGTATTCTCAGTGATGGCTGTTCTTTGTTCAGCTGGGCGGACAGCTGTTGAAGACCGTTTTACTGGTTTTCGTGGCGTGGCAGATGAGGAGATTCCCAATTGATTGAACTTCTGTTTATCTACAAGAGAAGTTATCTTCCTCATTATTAGAAACCATGTTTGGTATTTTTTATATTTTATTTCTAAAATTAAAGATGTCTCTGCTGCAGATTACAGTTTTACAAAAAAAGGAAAAAAGTAATTTTTTTCTTCAAAGCAGTTCAAAATTACCATGTATCTTGCCAATACAGAAGCTAAGATTTCTGCAGTTAAACACAATGTCAAGAGCCCTTTAAAGGAAACTGTTCAGTTGGCCATAACTATATAGAATATTTTAATGAAAAATTATGAAAGCAGCTATACAGAAATGTTGCTAAATAAAACCTTAAATAACAGTTATAAAATGTAAGAGAATGAAAAAAAACCAAAAACATTTTAACCTTCTGAAGGAAGCTGAGGACAGGAAACAGGTCTATTACAAGATGATGATTTCTCTTCAACCCTAAAGCTAACTTGCCGTTCAAGGTGCTCTCGAATGTGCTGAATGTCAGGCTCTTGCTTCTGTTTGCATTCTCTAGCGGATTCAATAGCACGCAAAATTTTATTTAAGCGATCATTTGGGATACCACGAACACCCTAAGGAAACAAATTGTATTGTAAACACAGGTGCTATTATTTCTGGGATTTCTATCCTACAGTCATACACTCTTTTAAACTTCAAATATCAAAAAGCTTGCAGAAAAATCACAAGAGTTGGTAACACTGCTCACAGGTGTAGCCATATCCTCCACAGCTGTAATTTGATGGACATCCTCTCAGGTTAATGAATTACACTTATTTATAACGTGGAAATTTAGCTTTGGATTTTATAAGTTGAGGGTTGTGGCACAGGAGTGAAAGCGAATGGCAAAAAAGTGGGACAAAGATTACCCTTCTTTGAAATAACTCAAAATAATCTTACTGCTTTAATTCCCAAGGATTCCAGCTTCTCCTCCAGGGCTTGCTCCAGAACAACTCGTAATTCTTTAGTTAAAGAAGGATCAGTCTTCAAAGCATTTATTAAATAGTGGTTACTTCTACCTCTTTTATAATCATCTTTCTCAATTTCTGAAATAAGAATGGAAAAATGCATTTGAAAAATCCACAGTATGAGATAATTAAAAACTGCATTGAAGCATGCATTTTTTAGAAACACCATAGACATATATGTGCATTTTTTGTATACGTGCAGTTGCATTCTTTTTAAAATCTTGGGCTAGCTTACAAAAGTCAGCTCACTTGGAATCTATACCTCAGCACCTCATACTCACCATCAGAAATACATTTTATTTTTCTTCTTACAGAATCACTCTAAAGATACATGCCTGAATATTTAACAACAAAGGTCTTCATTTTTAGAACTGTACTTGGAAACTTCTGCTAAAGAAAGACTATCTTCTGATAATTATGTTCTCTGAAAATGGTATTTCAAATCAAAGCTGAACTCTAGCAGGAATTAGAACAGAAATAGGACAAACTTAATCTCAAGGAAAGCTTCAAACAACATAATGTTCTTTGATAAAAAACACCTACTGAAATCAAATCTTTGAAAAGTTGTAACACTTCAAAAGTCTTGGTAAAGACAAAACCTTAGTCTGAGGCAGACCGTTTCACAGAAAATATACGACGGATAATACTTATCTTCAATACTCTTTCAAGGACAAAGTTCAGTGTTGTGTTTTCTTCTCTGCAGGTCTATGACATCATACATACTTGAAAGCAGACAAAGAAGTTTCTATCTCTTTC